CCCCATCCCTCCTCACTCTCCTCCTTATCCTCGATCCGTTCGTTTGCCATTCATCTGACGCTGTCATTAAAGCGAGAGAGAGAAGAGATTACAAGCCATGGGGCTTTCTATACGCGTCGTGTCGCGACATCCAACCACCGCCGCCTTCCCCTTTGAATGGCGCGGTGCGGGCGCCGCCCGGCAGCAGCACGCAGCGGCACGCGCGCCCGAACAACAACTGCGCCTTCAGCTCGTCATGGCTGCTCGTAATCAAAAGTTTGTCCTCTCTGGCGAGGATTTTTGTTGTTTCGTGAAAGGGGAATGCAGAGGTAATGGCGAGGTGTTACGAGGCCGGTGGAGGAGTAAGTCTCCAGGGTAAAGGGGATTGAGGGCATTAAGCGCTATTTCCACCTTATCATTCTAAGCCCCCTGCCCCCTTCCCTCCCCTCCTCCCCGCTCTTGGAGTCGCTGCTGAAAGGTCTCACACTCGCCTCCGCTCTCACCTGGCCCGGCCAGCCGGCTCAAATAAGATGACTGGACGGACCGGCGCTGCTCGGCCAGTACCGATCCTCTATCCATCTCTTCCCCCCCCCCTTCTCTCTCTCTCTCTCTCTCTCTCTCTCTCTCTCTCTCTCTCTCTCTCTCTATCTCTCTCTCTCTCTCTCTCCTCCCTAGCTCCCTCGCGCCCGCCCCGGTCTCCTTCCTCTCCATCGCTCTCTCCGTCAAGGACCAAAGGTCAAACACAACCTACATTATTACCGGACAACCTTGCCAGAAGTGCGCTGCCGACTTGCTCGGCATCCGCACCGGGGAGGTGGCAAAGGCTCGACGCACAAAATCACCCATGGGTGCTCAGCATCCACGAGGTCCGTCTATATAGGGTAAAGGGTGGGGGGGAGATGACTCGCTGGATGGTTCACATGTACGAGAGGTGACTGAATCTCGCCGCCTACCCTCGCGTGCAATCATACCGCACACGCGAGGAAGGGTGGGTTTGCCTATCGACTCGCGCCGGTTGCCTTGCGACCCTAGCGAGTAGGCAATCCGATTGTACGCGTGCTTATGCGGCCAAACTGCCTTACCTGCGGGGGCGAGCCAACCGGATGAAGTCACCGAAGAAGCGCGATGACACCGACGATGCCAAGCGGTTCCGCTGCGCTGCTCTGGTCTGGGTCGCACGGGGTATCGCCGCCTCGGCCGCTGGTGGCGCACCTTTGGTCCTCGCATAGTACAGTCCACGCAATCAGTGCTGCCTCCCGCACCCCCTCGCCCCCTCGCCCCTTCGCCCCGCGCACCTGCGCTAGGCGCGCGGCGGGTAGGAGACGCTCAGTGTTATCACCGGCGGCCTTAGTGGCGGACGCCGTCGCCGCTGACGTCGCATCCTCCCGGGGGGGCCACGGCGGGCACGTGCCTTGGACGGCGACGCCCTGGTCGCGCAGCATGAGCCGTCCCGGGTGCTGGACGGCCCTGCGGCTCGCGGGGGCGGGCACCGCCGCGGGCGCGGCCTCCATGGAGGCGGCGCGCGGCCGCGGCTGCTCGCTGTTCCGCCGGGAGACGGTGTTCGCCGTCGCCATCCTCGCTGCCGGCGAGGCGCTGTTCTTTTTGTGGCGCCGGCGTAAACGTCGGGCGGATGACGGTGAGGGTGACGGCGACGGCACGGTGGTGGTCTCTCTGGCCCGCGAGGCCTTGCTGCTCCTCTGGAGGCGCCGCTGGCAGGGTGACGGTGCTGGTGACGACGGCGGCAATGGCAACGGTGACGAGGACGGCGACGGCGACCGCCACCAGAGATTCCAAAAGAAATTCGCCATGGTTGCCTTAGCCGGCAAAGCGATCCGGCATCTGTGGCGCGTTTACCAGCGCCGCCGTCAACGGCCCAATGCTGATGGTGCTGGTGTCAACGGCGACGAGTTTGCTCCCGACGACGTCGTCGTTACGGAAGCCGTTGTTGACGGTGACAGCCACACAGACTTCGCCATCGTGTCCTTCACTGGCAAGGCGCTGCCGCTGCAGAATCTGCTGCGCCGCCTCGGCGACGTCAACGGCAAACTTGAGAACACCATGAGCTGGAGGAGGAGGAGTCGACTCCGACACCACCGTGGACCAACAGAGGAGGAACAGCCTATGAGAAGAGGTATACTGTAGAGTCCGGCACAACTCACAACTCTCCCCCTTCCTCCTTCCCCTTCTCCCCTTTGAGCTAATTCATTGGTAAACAAACGGTTACGCGTGTGCACGCCATGGAATATGGCTGAGAGTATGGCATATCTTCAGCTAAGTTTTTCCAACGCCGTAAGACACGAGGGCGTTGTGGGTACAACCGCGGAGCTGTGAACAGTTCTGGCACGTTTGTTGCGTTTTCACACTCTCTCCCTCTCGTTTTGTACCGCGCGGGTTGCGACAATATTATGTACTTTGCGTCTCGTTCCCCGCAGCCGCTGTGCCCGTTTTTTACATGGGCCAGGCGCCACGGCTTGGCAGGGGGATTTGCCATTCTAATTAGATTCTGTCAATCGTTGGGTTCTTTTCGACACGACGATTTGTTTTTGTTTGATTTTTTCCCGTGTACCGTTTAGTTGTGTATTATCCTGGCTGATACCCCAGTTTGACATAGACTTTGCGAGTTTGTAAAAGAACGTTGAGGTTTCGGTCTGGTCTGTCTGCCCCCAGACGGCCCCACTCTGATCTGCAGTTTGGGGGTTGTGGTGTAGGTAGTGTGTTCATTTGCGTAGCAGGTTTATCTGGTATGTGGTGCATTTACCATTCTCACCTGGTACGCAGGTAAACTGACGTCTTTGCTCAAGGGTGTCTGTCGTGTGTTATCATAGAGTGCGTGTTGTTATAACACTGCGGTGCTCACAGGGCATTAGGGAGATAATGAATACTGCTCACGCATCTCGGCTTTTATGACGGCATATGCTAAGAAGAGCAGCGCAGTTCATCGCACTGTTGTGTGTGACCCCACACCGAGCCGTGGCACCCGAGGTGGCACCAAACCGAATAACTCACTGGTAAAAAGGGAGGAAAAGGGCGTAAGTCCAATGGGAAGTCTGTGGACTTGCGCCCTTTTCACTTTTCACCAGTGAACTGTGGCACGCGCTGCGGCACGCGGCTGCAACTGCCAATATCCGGCCTGGTCCCTCATTACAGTTTCGCGCCATGGTTGTCCCCCGACATGCATAATTATTTCCTTTTGAATGTCAGAGCACAAGACAAGGGTCCCTCAAAGGTAATTGCGGGACTATTGTTCACGCGAAAAGAGCAAGAGACGAGAAACATAGAGAAGGGAGAGAGCAAAGGAAGGAAAGGGAAGGGAAGGAAAGAAGGAAGGAAGGAAGGAAGGAAGGAAGGAAGGAAGGAAGGAAGGAAGGAAGGAAGGAAGGAAGGGAGGGAGGAAGGAAGGAAGGAAGTCTCTACTATCTGTGGGTTGTTCTATCTGATACTGCTACAGTTCGAAACGAGAATCGTCTGACCGTACCACGACAGTCCAAACCTGTTGTTAGCTGAGATGGCCGCTGGTCCACTGTGCATTAATATCCCCTTCTCATGTCTTCCCCCCTCCCCCGCCATCCTTGATTTGTTATGTGCATTTTTTTTCTCCCTTCGGGGCATCGCCTGGAGCTCTGTCGTTATGCACACAGTAAGGACCAATGTCTGGAGTGGGGGGGGAGGGGGAGATGGTTAATAAAGATCCGCTTACTGGGCTCGCACTGGCCGTGGTGCGGTAGTGGCCCGGCCTCGCCTGGCCCGCTTTCCCATCGGCTGATGTCGTAGATTGTGGCAGTGTGCGTGATTGCCTATTCTTCGCTGGACGGCCCTGCCCTGCGCTGTGCCACTGCCTGCCCCCGCACCCGGGGCCTCGAGAGCCGCCGTCCTGCTCCTTTGTCGTCGCGTACGTTCCCGCCAGGGGGCTGCACCCATATCGTGCTCCGGTGCAGCACCGTCGTCGTGCGCGCAGGGTCCGCGAACGAAATCCGAGGCTTTAATCAACGTATAATGCAAAATGTTTGTTCGTTTGTTTCGTCGACGCAGTGGGCGATGGCGAGTCCCGCTTCGTCATGGGGGAGGCCGACGACGTCCTCATCCCCGAGGCTGCCTCCGAGGCCTCTGGCGTGCGTCAGCTCATGGAGCGCCTCGTCGAGTCCCTCGTGTCCGGCGGCCTGGACGACGTCGTGCTGCTCCCCAAGGATCCTCACCCTCAGTGTAAGTATACTGCACGCCTGCTCAATGTGCTTTACGAATATGCGAGTTAAGGGCAAGCACTACTAGCACTATCATATTTTTAGTTGTTTTTTTTTTTGTTTTTTTCTTAAATAAAAAATGGCATTCCTCAAAGTAGCTGCTCTGCTGTCACTCGTTATTGCTTGGGCAGAGAGATGCAGTTTCTGTCCATCGGCGACAGCAAGTTCTGCAGCGGAGGGCATTGTGCCGAGCCGAGCCGAGCCGAGGTGGCCGAGGCTTGCGCACTCGGGCAGGAGGGGCGCTAATTGTCCCGCCATTATCCTCTGGACGCCAAGTCCTGCCGGGCCGGCTAGGCTCCGACTCGGCTCGGCTCCGACTCGGCTCGGAAGTGCAGGGTGATCGCCTGTCCTTCTAGGTGCATGCGTAAACTTCGCAGAGCCCTGCCAAACTAGGATCAGCGGGGAAAGGGGTGGCGGGGCGTGTTGCTGCAAGACAATCACGCAATCTCATGGGGAGTGTGGGGGAAGGGCGGGGGAGGGGGGCGTTCGCCGGGCCCGGGAGTAGACAGGTCCGTCGAGCGCTCCCGTCCAGCCGGTTGCCTAGCCTACCCTGACTGCTGACGGCATTTATTCAGAGTCATTTTGGAGAACAAGAATGGTCTGGGAAGAGGCAAGGGTGTCGACTACGTAATAGAAGACACTCGGTCTTGCAATTTGTTTTCATTTTTTTTTTTTGTTATTTTTTGCAATCGGATTTGGAAGGAATAAAAGTCTGTCGTATGGATTAGGATTACCCAGAAAGTACGATCGTCATTTGCCTTCACAAATCTGCCGAGTTTAGCGTCTCTGCAAGCTTGCTCTCATAGCGCCTGATAGGTAGGCAACATCTTGTCTGCATTGCATGCGTGCACAGCGGGGTGGCCTACCCCAAGTCTCGCAGGCGCCGAGCTTCCGCGTAATTTGCCGAAATTACCTGAGAAAAAACGGACGTACTTTTCGGACGATTACCGTAAACACAAAACTGCTCTGTGAACGATACCCAACAGCGCTGGAGACTTGTGGGCCCGTCGCCGTGCAGCGCAGCGCCTCAACCGCCGTTTGCGTTATTTAATTATTCTTTCTCCACGGAGACTGTTGCTGCCGGGGGACTTGAGAGAGATTAGTGCACTGTTTCCAAAACGGGCGCGCTTGTGACCTCACCTTTTTATCTCCCTCTCGCAGACGGGCGCATTTACAGACGCCACCAGCCGCGCCTGAGGTCCGCGCTCACCTCGCTCGCCTACTCGCTGCAGATGGCCATGGCTCGTGAGTACACCGCACGGCTCGTCGCCTTACTCATGTAACGGGCTTACATCGCTCCTCACGCCCGGCCCCCGCCCTTCTTGTCGTGCGCAGAGAAGCCCCTGGCCGAGTGCGAGACGCCGGGGCGCGCGCACGCGCAGCTCCGGGCCATCATCCTCGACCTGGCGCGGGACGTGGCCGCCCTGGACCGCCACCCGGGCGAGCAGGACGGCGTCGGGACGGCTGGCCTCGACGGCGTCCTCGACGCCAAGGAGGACTTCGCCACGCGCGCCTACGAGGACATCCTGGCCACCGCCATCGTCAACAAGGTATGGGAGGACAGCGTAGGTAGACAAAGCAATCGACAGTCGTTTGTCTCGATTAATCGATAGCGAGCGCTACCGTTACCTGTTGGCCGGGAAGACCCGCAAGTCCGCCGTCGCCCCACACCGAATGGACATTGCGAGTTGACCACTATGCCACCTCTCCCCCGCCTTTTCCCATCCCCTCACTTCATCATTCCCCCGCTATCCCTCTCAGGTAATCCGTGCCCCCTCGGTCTGACTGCCGCGTTGCGGTGTCAAGTCGTATATCCTCTACACATCATAAAATTGTCTGACAAAATGGATACAGAACGATGGGGTTAAAATCCACTCAGAAAGGGAGAACCTTGAATTATGCCCTTTTAAAGACTTTCTTTGCATTCCGACTCCCTCCCGTCCGTCCCAGCCGTGTTGACGCCTTTCTGTGTTTGCCAACCACGTTAATAATTATTGCCCTACCCCCCCTTCTCGCCCCACACATGCACCTTATCTCCCTCGTGCACCTCTACCTCTGTGTTTATATGCGGCCGAGTGATGTGATGACAGTCAGACGGGGGCGTGCAGACAGACGGACGGACGGGCGTCTGGGCGGGAGGAGGGGGTG